ACTAGAGCCACTGCATCATACACAGACTCACATAGTATAGTGCCCCATATTTTACAGATATCCCAATCTGCTGTGGGATGTTCTGTATGGCAAATGTGTTGCTCTAATTGGTCACTAAATAAAACACTGATTGGCTAGTGGCTAGGCAGGAAGTATAGGCAGGACTAACAGAGAGGAGAAAAGAAAGAACAGGAAGGCAGAAAGACACACAACCAACCGCCACCAGGACAAGCAGCATGTGAAGATGCCAGTAAGCCATGAGCTACGTGGCAAGGTATAGATTTATGGAAATGGATTAATTTAAGCTATAAGAACAGTTAGCAAGAGGTCAGCCAAGGCCATACAGTTTGTAAGCAATATAAGTCTCTGTGTTTACTTGGTTGGGTCTGAGCAGCTATGGGACTGGTGGGTGACAAAGATTTGTCTTGACTGTGGACAAGGCAGGAAAACTCTATCTACACCAATCTTTTGCTTTTTACCTTGTATTCTGAAGGTTATTTTTATATTTTTCTCCCTACATAATCCTCCTATTCTAATCTACCCTTTGTCTCTCTATAACAATGTTATATTTCCCCTTCCTGGGGAGATCCTTTCTTCCATATTGCATAGTAGATGCCTAACCTTTGAGGCTATTAAGATTATAGCACACTCATTTCAAAGACTTCACAGATCACATCCTAAAAAAAATTGGTCTTTTGTGGTCTGTGTTTCTTTACTAGGGGTGATTTACTCTCGTTTCATCTATTTACATGTAAATTTCATTTTTCTTAACTGTTGTATGATATTTCACTGTGTAAAAATACCATATTTTTGTTATCCACTCATCATTTGATGAACATCTAGGGTATTTCCAATGTCTGATATTTTGAATAGGTTAGCAAAGCACATAGATGAGCAAGTATCTCTGTCATATGATGTAGAGTCCTTTTGGTACAAGCTCACTGGTGGTATAGTGGGTTCTTAGAGTATATCAATTGGCAGCTTCCTCAGAGACCACCACACCGATTTCCATAGTCACACAAATTAGCACTCCCATTAGCAGTGGATAAATGTTCCTCTTTCCTCACATCCTCACCAGCATGTGCTGCTATTTGGTTTATTGATATTTGTCAATGTGACTGGTATAACGTGAAATCTCAAAATAGTTGAATTTGCATTTCCCCAGTGTTGAAAGATGTCATATACTTCATCAGATGTTTCTGAGCTATTTGTGTTTCATCTTTTGAGAACTTTCTGGTAACTTCTATACGAAATTTTTAAAATTCGGTCATTCATTTTCTTAATTTTCATTTTTTTAAGTTCTATATATATCCTAGATACTACTACCAGATATGTATTTGATAAAGATCTTATCTGAATATGTAGAATTCCTCTTTATATGAGTACTGGTGTGCTTTGCCATACAGAGTATTTTGAGCTCCATGAGGTCCCATTTTTTAATCATTGGTCTTAGTGCTTGTGCTATTAAATTACTGATTAGGAAATATTTTCAGTGCTAATGAATTCAAATCAATTCCCCATTTCCTATTTTATCAGATTCACCGTGTCTGGTCTTATGTTGGGGTCTTTATTTCACTTTCAGTGGAGTTTTTGCAGGGTCTTAAACACAGATCTGCTTGCATTGTGTTCTTCATGTGGTCAAGCAGTTTGATGAACACCACTGATGAAAATAAAATGCTCTCTCTGCTCCATTGTGAATTCTTTGCTTTTTTGTTAAAAATCAGATGTTCAGAGAAGTGTGGCTTACATCTAAGTCTTCAGTTCAATCTCATTGGTCAATGTGTCTGTTTCTATGAAAATCATGTTGTTTTTATTACTATAGATCTGTAGTTCAACTTAAATTCTAGGATGGTGATAGATACCTCTAGCACTTCTTTTATTATTCACGATGTTTTAGTTGTGTGTATGTGTGTTAGTTTGGTTGTAATTGGCCTCCATAAGTTCACCGGTAGTGGCATTATTAGGAGGTGTGGTTTTGTTGAAGGAAGTGTGTCACTGTCTCCTATGCCAAAGATCTGCCCAGTGTCTAAGACCACTTCCTGTTGCCTGTAGAACAAGATGTAGAATTCTCACCTCTTTCTCCAGCGCATGTCTACCTGCATGCCACCCACCATGATGATAACGGTCTGAACCTCTGAACCTATAAACCAAAACCATCCCAACAAAATGTTTTCCTAAATAAGATTTGCAATAGTCATGCTGTCTTTTCAACAAACCCCAATACACTATGTTTCTGTGCATGTGTCTGTGTCTCCATAAGATGCTGAACATTGTTTTATTGTTTTTTAATTTTTTGTGAAGACATGTGTTGGACATTTTTCAATGGGTATTGCCCTGAATCTGTAGCTTTAGTGGTAGGGAAGGTTTCAAAATAATAATCCTTCTCATCAGAGAACATTCCATCTTCTGGTATAATTGTCAATGCCTTTCTTCAATGTCATAAAGTTATTTTAGTTTTCAAAATACAAATTATTCACTTGTCTGGTTAGAATTATCACAAGTTTAAAGCAGAAAAATTCATGTTTGCAGTCATTATCTAGCAGTCATTTCATAAGGAGTACTTAGAAAAAGGTATTCAAATCCAATTTACAATGCAAAGGAATATGAAATCATTAAGAAGGACATTTCTTGTATCAGTCAAGACTTTGAAAATATGAAACAATTTTTGGTAAACCCAAAGCCTTGTCTTATTGCATCATTTTAGTATTTTAATATCTGTGCACTTCATCTTTCCAGAAGTAATTCATTTTTTAATAAGGAAAATTCCATCTGATCTCTTAGTTTAACAATTATAAATGAGACTTTTCTTAATTATTTTACTCAGAAATAAAGCTATAGAGATGCAAAGATATTTCAATGGGTAAAGGGACCTGACATCCAATCCAGTCTGACCAGCTGAAATGACCTGTGAGCCAATGTAGAAACAAGAATGAAATGACTCATGACAGTTTTGCCTTCTAGTGTCCCTGTTCAACTTGGAAAGATGAAGATATACTGCCTCAGATAAAGGAAACCTACAAGTTAATGCTTGGCTTGAAATTTCCCCTCTGAACTCTGGGGGAAAATCCATATAATTAATAAGTGGCAATTGCAATTTTGATGGTTAGATCCCAAGTAACTCAGCTTGGACTCAAACGCTCTATGTATCTAAACTGACCTTAAAATTCTGATCCTTCTGAAGATAGTGATTACAGGTGTGTGCCCCCGTGTTCAGTTTTTGTGTTGCTGGGATCAAGCCCAGGGCTTTGTCCATTCTAGGCAAGCATTCTACAGAAGGCAATTCACTATTTAGTGACTGTGAATGTCAACTATACAAAACTATGTCTCCAGGTAGGTGACAGAGCCTAGTGTTTAAATCCTAGTATTTAGAGCCAGAGTGGACCAAGGTATTCTCTGAGATCCAAATTATATTGCAAAGAGGACATTACCTCTGGGTCTTTGTCCAGGAACTGAATTGGCAAGATCCAGTCTATGGCTAGATTCAGCTCCTCAAAAAGGTGAAGATTATAGCTTCTTGGGGATTTGATTTTTTCCTGGTCTGTGCTTCAGTCCTAAGGCATCTGTGACTGAGGTATGGATACCTGTGTTCTTTTTCCATCCATTTATGATTTAGCTGTGTGCAAGCCTTGGCCATTTCCCTTTTACATATACCATGTAAGAAGCTTTCTGCTTAAAAATTTCTAATATAACTCATCATTTTATGCAAGACCTCCTGGGCATAGCTACATGTCTTCTTTATTTGTCATACACAGTCCACCCTGAAACAGCTCATCACCTTGACCATTGGGATCCTCATTCCTTCCAGTTCATGTAATGTGGCACTCTATGCAGGGCTTGAGATTACTAGAAGTCATCAAGAATGAGTGTTACTGTGATAAATGTACAAAAAGTGTCAGTCTTGGGGACCTGTAAGAAAGAAAGGATGAAGGAATAGCTCAGAGTAAAACATGGAAGGAAAAGATTCTAAAAACCAATTTCTTTTCTTTCACATGTTTCATCGGCTTCTCCTTTGACATGTATCACTATGGTACTTAGATAAATTCTTTACTTTCATTAAAAAATATACCCTTGGTTCCCTGAATAATGTTCTGTAAATTTAAAGACATGGGAACATGTAGGTGGAAGTTTAAAGACAGAATATCACCTATGAGGACCACATGAGTTTACTATTTTGGGTTTGTGCTGTCAAATTTTATACATGACTAGTTATACCCACACCTTTAATATGATGTGTTTGTAATTCAACACCCCTGTACATCTAGCTAATATACTCCAAAACAAACTGGGGACACAAGATAAAAATAAAATTTCAAAAAATAGAGATATAAGGCCCTGAGGACCAGGAGGTAGCTTAATTTCTTGAATTACTTTCACTTCATGGTACCTCAGAGGATGAGAAGAAACTTCCTTTTTGCTGGTGCACTTATAAAATCACCTGAATTGGCTCCTACGTGTCTAACTGAGTCAAAAGCCCATCCTCCCCAGGATCCTCCTCATTTTGCTTTTAGCCTTCCTTCTTCTAGTTTTCAGAAACTCATGAAGAAAGAACAATAGGAGATGCTACTACATGGTATGGCCAAGAGCCCCAAATTGTGTCAACAATTTATAGCTCAAACCTTTCTCCCAGTTAGAAAAAAAAGTACCCTTTTCTCATGGTTATGTATTACCTAGGTGATTTCAGCACCTACAGAAAATTTAATTACTCAGTAATTTCTCCTAAATCCATCATCACTTACAACAGACTCAACAGGAAATTTCATCAGAGAAATAGATTACACCTCCATTTTCTTATTTAGATCATATTACAGAAGGCAGTACCACTTGTTCACAAACATTTACATGTAGTTGCTAACATTCATAGATTTTCAAAAGATGTTAGGAGATACTAATTGACTTAGACCTTCCCTGAAACATACTACAAAAGATTTGACCCTCTATGTTTTGATATTAAGAGGAGATAATGACCCCTCTTCTAGAAAGCTTACTCCTGAGGGTCAAACATATTATAATTGTTATACTGAATCATCACTCATGTACAGTTGACAAGTATTGGCCCAAAGATTCTTCTAACTCCTATACTGTTAGGTACTCCTACATATACTTCTGGCAACCTAGGAGACCTATAGAATGGATTTTTCTGCCCACTGATGCTGGCTACCCCTTGACTTCTTATTATGAAATCCTTGTTCAGCTTGTCTAGAAAACAGGTGTCCTCAAGCCCTTCAATTTATTGTGTGATAAACTGACATGATAGCTCACCCCTTCACCTCTTCATAACTTAATTCACTTTGGGTCTTCACTGACTCTTGACAGGTAGTTCTCTTTGACCTCATGGGCCAGCTTCGTACTTCATATCCTGCTGACCCTTTAATGCAAATATTTCAAAACTACTCTCTAGTTATCCCAACATTTGTATAATGTACACAATCCCAGAAAGAGATAATGTGTTCCTTGGTGAGAGCCTTTTTAGGTGCCTAATGTCATACATCAAGAAGTAATTCTTCATACATTGACTGCTTCAGCTAAGTCTTCTCAGAATGTAGATTATTTTTGCATTCCCTCAACCTCTCACCATTTACTCTGACAGTTTATATTTCATGTAAGCTGTTCAAATACTTCCTTGTGCTCTTATTAAACAGACTGGGGATGAAGAAATGTTTCACTTGTTTCAGCATGCCAAACAAAAGTTAGAACCAGGAGGCTCCTTAATTTCTCCAATATTTTCCAGCTATAGATCTAGCTTCCCATTATTCTAATTAGAAAGTAGCTATTGACTCATGCAATTCACCATCAGCACTGTACTCTGCCTCAACCCCAATTACAGTTATCTAGAGATCAAGTATGACAAATTGTCTCATTGTCCTGCTTGTATAACATATCTGCCTTCTTGTTATGGTGTAAATCTCCAAGGTTTAACTACCTTATGGCAGAGAGAAATTAAGGGCAATTCAAATTTTTAGCAGCCTCAAACATATTCACGTTAATATGACCTTTATTCTGGGTTCCTCCTCATGTCTATCCCATTAACTGGAAAAGTTGGCAAGCATTTGATTACTACTTTCCAGTGAACATTTATTTATAGCTGGAACTCCAAAAATGTTTTAAAATAACAGTTAATGATCCAGCATAGACTTCTGATACCTTTAAGAAATTTTGTGCTACATTATGTATTATACATAAAACTGGCTTCTATTGTATTTTTCAATGACAAGAAAACACACATGGATCTCTAAAGGTTTTGCTGGAAAAAATAAAAAGTGGGAGTATACATACCTCCTTACTTCTACAAATCTTCTTAATTGTTCCTTAATTTAATATGTTTTGAGAATACAACAACAAAGATGAACTGGAGCAGAAATTTTTTGATTTGACATGCTCCAGAAAGAGAGATTTTGTGAAAATACCTGCTACAGGGGAATGATGTAATCCTGACCTTGTGCTCATGAAGAGGAGAGAATGTTTGTATTTTCCTTCAGGGAGCTGTGGATCACATTGGGTCCCCAAACACCTTGTTCTGTATTCCCAGGTTATAAAGGCATCTGCCCTGGTACAGTTGACCAAAGCTAAGGATACAGATGGTGATGAATTTGAAGGCAGCATGCAGTGCAGTACACCACTTGCAGTCCACCTGGTAGGGAACACTCCCAACTTGGGGACAGATTAAATGTCTCACAGCAGAAGGAATTTGAGTAGTCAAGGAAACATGGAAGACTGTTATTCACACTCCATTTATTTTAGCAATTCTGGCATTACTCTCTGGCACACGTGGAAAGTGTGGAAGTCTACTGGGCCTGCATAGGTTACATTCCCTTTGGCTTGTCCAATCTGCCTACTAGAATGTTTACTAATAATATGCTTGTTTATTTTGCAATGCTGATGTTTCACATGTGGTGCCTGGCACTACTCACTTTAACGATATTAGTATATCATAAATCATTCTTATTTGTTTGTCACTGATGGAACACTATGACTATGTTCTTCTCTTGTGAGTGACTGACAAGACCTATAGTTCAAGGGTCCACATGGTATCAAAAATGAAGCATCATTAACTCATTCATCATTTTGATTACCCATAGGTTACACCATTGGATGGGCATTTACCAGAATTCAGTGATTTTCCTGTGGCCTGCTTCATAATGGAATTCTCCTTGAGTGGCTTGCTCCATGATTCTAAAGTACTTCCTGCCACTGAATGGATGATCTGTGGTGCTGATTGTATTGTCTTAGTGGTGCCCACCTGGTCTGGATGAATATAAATCCTAAAATCTGCTCATTGGCCATTTCCTGTTTATACTATCCTTAGAGGAAAAGGATATTAGACTTTGAGCCACCATCCTGGAAAATGGGTTGACCAAAAGATTTTTAGAGAAGATGACCAACCATGGTATATCATTTTATATTTGACCTCACTTATTGTGTTAAAACTCCATATATGTAACTGACTCTGAGTCCCTCTATTAAACAAAGGGGAGTACACTTCAAAATTGCAGTGTTATGGCCAGGCGGTGGTGGTGCACGTCTTTAATCCCAGCACACGGGAGGCAGAGGCAGGC